AGAGAGAACCTCCGTGAGTGAAGGAAGTTACGGTGTATCTTCCCAAACCCCAATTGTCCCTCAAGCCGACAAATCCAATCTGCGAGGGGTATCGTTGATGGTTCTACGGGTAAAGGAGATGCTGGAGTCGAGAAAAGCAAAGTACCCAACAATGTGAGTGGTTCACGTGACAAATCCGCAGAAGCACAGAGGAGTGACCGAGAGAAAAACGTATTACCACCATCTGAGGTCCCAGGCAGCAGCGACATCACCTCTGCAGAGAAGGGATACAAGTTTACTAATGTGAGGGAGGACTCAACCTACGCGCAGGAGTGTGGTTCTAGGATCCGCGTGGGTATTATTGCTGGAGAAGGTACTGACAAGAGTCTCAGTACACCGTACATTGCCTCTCTTGCACTACTTGTGTGTGTTCTTGCAGTAATGTGGTGGTTCCATGAACCCCATTTACGTCCAGAATAATAAGTAACTTTGCTTATTACGCTCTTAAAAATTAAAGTGCATATTTCAGACTGAATTACCAAATGTTTTTAATTTTGAGTAGTCTTCATTCCATGGAAAAAGAAAATTCTCATAACTCTTAATCGTTTTTATTATTATTTTGCTTCGTTTGTTTTCATTTTTTGGAAATAACTTTTTTTTTGCATTTTTTGCAGCAAACCCCGACTGCGTATGGATGTGATTTTATGTACACATGCCGAGATCGAGAGAGAGAGAGTGCAACGGCAGTGGAGGGGGCGCTTGTGCCTGGGCTTTTTTTTTCACTGAACATTTATAATGTGATCCTGTTTTAAAAGAAAAAAAGTTCTGAAAGAAATGATCTGACCTTGGTCATCTCTGGAAAAGTACATAATATCATTTTTTTTTTATAATTTATTATGATTGATTTTCTCGCAAAGGGTACGTTTTTGAAAGCCCATCCGTTCCATTCTTCTCCGTCCTGTGCGGAAAGCAAGTTTAAAAAGGCTTTCATGACCTCTCTTTCGCTACTACTCAATCTTCATAGGTAGTGGGGAGTCATCTAAGACTCTTTATGAGGGCATTTATTTTTAAGATATGCGGCAAAAAAAAAAAACACATACTGAGGAAAAATAATAAGTGCCCTCTCCCCTTCTTTCTTTCTTTTTTTTTTGGGAAAAGCAAGACACAGACTTTGAAGTCGAAAACAAATGGGTTTGGGTAGAATTGTTTGTGAGAGTATTTGTCTCTCTGCTTCTCTGCTACTACTACTGTTGCTGCTGTTACTTTTTTTTTTTTACTTTTTTTTAATTTACTATATTTCTTGCTTCCCCGTGTTTATCTCTTTACTTTCCCTATATTTCCCAAGGATTGTATGCGATGAACACACTGTAACTGAAGCTGATAATGTGCTCTCTGTTGTTTTCATGTACATTATTTGACTTCACTCTGATTGGATGGACGTCTCTGTTTGTCTGGCATTTGAAGCCCTACATACCTCCAGAGGTGCGGGTTTGTGATCTCATTATTGCCGTTTGATATTACTGTAATTGTTATGTTGGCAATGATACAGTGTGGTTTTAAGATTATTTCTCTTGTACTTTGATGTATGGGGCTCTCTACTAAGTCTTCTGCGTCTACTTCATTACTCGAATCTCCGCTACATCTATCTTGGAAAAGGAAAATCCCTACTCCACTAAGTAGAAGTGAAGAGCTTTATGCGTATCTCTTGATGATCTTTGTTGCACTGATCCTGTTGTACTATGTGGGCTGATGTTTTGTTGACATATAGAAACTAATACCAGAGTAATGGGAGACGTGGCATGTGTACACTATTATGAAAGAATTGATGTGATGTTGAAAGGAAGAATCTCTTTCTGACCAAACCCTTTCTTGAGGGGATCAACCGGGACGGGAGGTTTTCTAGGTGCTCAATGCAAATGAGGTGAGTCTCCTCTAACTTGGAAACCTATTTATTTTCCTCACGGGAAGGAAGCAGAATAACAAGTTTAAGTTGACCCAAAAGAAGGAAATAAACAAAAAGATAATAACTCTGAGAATGTTGACCACCCCATTTAGGTGGCAGTGCCCAGTGTTGTTCATTCTTGTAGAGAAGTCAACAAAGAGAAGCAGCACTGTCTTCATGTGTATCATGTTGTTGCTGGTGTGCGTCTGCTGCTTTGTGTGGGTCCAACAAACACGTAAGGACCAATGAGGTCTTGTTTGTGGATGGCTTTATGTTTTTCAGAAGGGGAGACTGTTTCACCATACCATGAACTGCACCACCCACATCAAGTTAGTACTGATTCATGTGCGTGTGGGACAGATAACCCTTACCACTTCTCTGAAGAAGACATACAGTGGAGTGTAGTGGGCATTCAATTCACTCAACAGCTCTGCATTGCCCCATATATCACTGGGACTTGGGAAATGACTGTGTTCTGACCACACAGATGAAGCAGAAACAATGTGACACCAAACTGCCGCCTGCGGGTGGCAGTGCGTGGAAGTGTAAATGAAAACTCCCTCAGAAAAGTGTGAGAAATAAGGTAATGGCTTTATTCATTACTGGTAACGATGATGTGTGTGTGGGAGAGAACTGCCTCTCCAAAGAAAAAAAAAACAGGATACAAGGAAATAATGTTTTGTATTTGTGAAGTAGTGTGTCATATGAACTTTTACTCACTACAAGCCTGTTCTTGTTGTTTGCCGGCATTTCATACACTTTCACCTTTTTTTTTCTTTCTTTATGGTTTACTGCTTCTAAACCTGAATGAGGAACCAAAAGAAAAAAAAAGAGCGATTGAGGGTCACAGATGGTTGAGAGTACCTATGCGGATAATTATACAATTAGTTAACTTGGGATGGCAATGGGAGTAAAGGTACACCATAAACAGTTAGTGGTTAATTTTTTTTGAGTTACGCGGGGGTGCCCGATAGTGCAGGGATGGTAATTGAATTGTCTTGCATCTTGAGGCTCACTATGGGTGAGAGGCACCAGGGTTTTCGATACTCCGAGGGTTGCTTCTTGTGTTGACTCTGTCTAATAGTGTTTCTTCTCTGACGATGAATTTCTGCTGATGTTTTTGTTTTCTTTCTCTCTTCTTCAAATTCTTTTTCGAATAGACAAAGTGAAGTTTCTATTAATTAAGCAGTGGTGACACGCCGGAAGAAAAAAGGAAAAAGCAAATAGAAGAACAAGACACTTGTAAGAAATTACAGCGGGAGGACCGAAACCGACATATGAGTTCACAAGCTGAGTGGAAGGCAAGGAGATCCATGTGCAAGACTCTTTTGTATGTGGAGCTTGTGTTTCTGCTTCTTGTGCTCTTCTGTAGTGGAACGGCACAAAGCTCTTTCACGAGGAGGGGAAGACCAAAGCGAACATTTCTGTTCAAACAAGGTGTGACATCAGTACCCTTTGAGGAGGACAATGGAACTATCACGGAAAGGGTTGTTCACTCGTTTCGAATTCCCAGCCTTGTTGAGGTGAATGGTGTCCTTGTTGCCCTTGCGGATGCTCGGTACATCTCTGGTGATGACCAATCATTTATTGAAACTGTTGTGAAGTATAGCGTGGACGGTGGTAAAACGTGGGAGACGCAGATCGCAATCAAGAACAGTCGCGTGAACGTGAACCGCTCTCGTGTAATGGACCCAACGGTCATTGTCAAGGGAAACAAGATGTATGTCACTGTTGCAGGCTTTTATGAGTCGCCTCTCAACTGGGTTCAACAGCCTGATGGAAGCGATTGGTATACACTGTTAGCTATTGGTGAGGTGAAAAAGAGAACCGTGAATGGGAAACTAAGTGCATCGATCACGTGGACGAAGCCTATCTCTCTGAATTCCATTTTGCCCAAATGGGTAGACGGAGTGCGAACAAAACAGTTTATTGGTGGTGTGGGTCCATCCATAGTGGCATCAAATGGAACCCTTCTGTTCCCTGTTCAGGTGTCGAATTTCGATAAACGCGTTTCTGTTTCAATGATCTATTCAGTGGATGATGGTGCGACGTGGGCGTTTTCAAAGGGGTTCACTCCTTATGATTGTACTGAGTCTGCTGTTGTTGAGTGGGAGGGGAAACTAATTCTGAACAGTCGTCGCGACAACGGTTACCGCAGGGTATTCGAGTCATCTGATATGGGAGAGACGTGGAAAGAAGCACTGGGTACGTTGTCCCAGGTCTGGGGTAACTCGCCTTCACGAACTGGTCCTGGATGCGAAGCTGGCTTCATTGCTGTGACGATTGAGGGGAAGCGTGTGATGCTTTTCACTCACCCACTGAATTTCCAGGGAGATTATAATCGCGACCGACTCCATCTTTGGATGACAGACAACCAACGCATTTTTGACGTTGGGCAAATTTCGTATGGGATTGAGAAAACTCCCTATAGCTCTCTGCTTTACACCAATGACAAACTGTTCTGCCTGCACGAAATCAAGACCGAAGATGAAATTTACAGCATTGTTTTATCACACCTGGAAAATGAGCTGCAGCTGATGAAGTCCGTGTTGAAGTCTTGGAAATCTCAGGATGAATACCTTTCGGGTATTTGCCCCTCCGCTGCATCTGTGGTCCCATCGCAGAAGGGTGAATGCAACGCGACATTCCCTACGAGAGGACTTGTGGGATTCCTCTCTGGCGAGTATAACAAACCCTACTGGAGGGATGTGTACAGTTGTGTGGACGCATTTGTGGTGAATGGGGCCAGAGTTCACAATGGTCTTAGGTTTGCTGGCATTGGCGGAGGAGCGCGGTGGCCTGTGGGCAAGCAGGGACAGAACCAACGGTACCATTTCGCAAACTACGGCTTCACGCTAGCGGCTACAGTCTCCATTGACGAGGTTCCAAAGGAGGAGGGTTCTATTCCTCTGATGGGTGTGAGTGTGGACGAGTCTGGGAGCAAAAAACTCCTGGGTTTGTCGTACAATTTTAAACAGCAGTGGAACCCCATATACGGCGCCTCCGAGATTTCCACTGGATTCTGGTCGGCGAAGAAAACGTATCACGTTGTTCTTTCGATGCAGAACGATGTGGGATCTGTGTACGTGGATGGTGAACCTCTCCCAGGTTCCGGTGAGCTGCTCATGTATAACAGTCACTCGCCCGGCATTTCACACTTTTACATTGGTGGATACGGTAACAGCAGCATGAAGACAGACAGTCGTGTAACGGTGACCAATGTTCTTCTTTACAATCGTGAGTTAAGCCATGATGAGATCAGAACGCTCTTCTTGGGGAGCGAACAGATTAAAGCGGTGACTCTGTAATAGTTATGGACATCAGATATTTGAAAAGGAGTGGTGATACCAAAGTGTTCCTCAGCAAAAGTGGATGGGGATTATTTGCTGCGGCGCGCTGTTGCCACTAAAGTGGGAATGGATCTATTTCTTTCGGGTACATGAAAAGTACATTGATTTTGTTATTGTTATTATTTTTTTTTTTTTCTCTCCCCTTCTCTTTAAGACTGCGGCATGGTTTTGGCGTTTCTGGGTAATTGCATGCTCAGTCCAACTGTGTGGGCTTTCCCACTGGAACCCAGACCATGCTATACGCAGTTAGGGTTGTGGTATGGAAGTGGACAATGGAGCGACCAGTGCCAAAGGTACTGTGGCGGTCTTTTTTCGTCTGCCTTTGGGTAAGGACCGAGAAGCATTAGTCTCACTTTCTGCACTTCCTTTATTTTATTATTATTTTTTATTGAGAGCTTGCGAGAGGAGTGTTCATTCCTTATGTTATTATTTCAAATCAATTATTCTGAGATAATACAAATTTTTTTATTTATCATAAATTTATACACAACACTCTAAAACGCAAGTTTTGAAGGCCCACTCCATCACCCCACCATCTACGCTTTTGTAGTGGGTGTGTTAAAGGGCCTCTCAGCGCTTTCTTTTCTTTGGTTCTGTTATTTTTGGGTTGGTGATATTAATCAAGAGAGAAATTGGGATTATAATCGTTTAATGCAATCAGAGTCTGTGCAGTCTTTTTAAGGGGAAAAATAAGATGAAACACATCATTTTTCCTCTTTGTACTTCTTCTGGGGAAAACGTAATGCTTAGGCTACAAAAAAGAAAGAAGGCAATTTTTGCCGGCTAACTCGTAATAAGGATGCTCGAATCAGAGCAAGGGCTTATTGCCACATTTTTATTTTTTTATTATTATTTTAAGAAAACTTATTTACTCCGCAAAGAAAGGAAAACGATATGAATCAAAAGATGAAATGAAATCAAAAAAAGAAAACGGAAGCCATAATTTTGAAACAAGAGGGATGTGTGAGAGACATTTTATTTCCTTTATTTTTTTTATTCGCTAAACCCCTAGTGTGAACAACTGGCGGGAGAGTCTGGACGCACGTTTGTCGTGTTTGCTGCTTTTCTCTGCCATAACCCTTGCGCCTTGCTGTTTATTACTTTTACTCCTTTTACGTTTTCTTTCTGTGTTTGTGGGTGTATTACTATAGATCATTGAGCTAATGTCTGCGAAGCTATTGTCGATGCGCTCTCTTGTGTTGGCATTCGCATTGCTTTGCATTGTGTCTGCGAGGGGTGATGCAGTGCGTAATTTCTCCATCAGCGAAGACGGGTCAACGTTTCTCCGTGACGGCACACCGTTTCAGGTGATAAGCGGTGGGTTCCACTATTTCCGTGCTCTTGCCGCGGAGTGGCCACAGCGCTTTGACACCATTGCTGCATCTGGCGTGAATACTGTCGAGACGTACGTGGCGTGGAACTTTCACTGCCCAGATGACCCGGACTCCTGTGATTTTACAGGTGACCGGGATCTTTTTAAATACCTGAAGCTGGCACAGGAGAGGGGTCTGCTTGTGATTCTGCGCGTTGGTCCGTTTATTTGTGCTGAGTGGGACTTTGGTGGTCTGCCATGGTGGCTTCTCAAGGGCGAGGATGATGTGGACGTGCGCACGAGGAATCCTGCATTTATGGCGGCGGTGCAGAAGTGGTTCGACATCCTTCTGCCAAAGGTTGTGCCATATTTGTATGAGAACGGCGGTCCGATAGTGATGGTGCAGGTGGAAAATGAATACGGCATGTCTGGTTTGGGCGACAAGGCGTATCTGGAAAAGATGCGTGACATGATGCGTGCCGCTCTTGGGCCGAATATCATTCATTTTTCAGTGGATGGGAATGAGACAGGCTTTTTGAATCGATCAGCTATTCCTGGTGTATATCAGACGGTAGATTTCTACAACAATGAAAGGGATGCCTCGGGTGCATGGAAAGTGCAGCACCAATTCGAATCTCTGACAGGGATCAAGGGACCAAACATGAACAGTGAATTCTACGTTGGATGGATCTCATACTGGGGAACGAAGGGGCTCTTTGCACGTGACCCCGTGGCGGTGATGTTAAACACATTGAAAATGTTAAAGAGCAGTAAAACTCCGGTGAACATGAATATGTACCAGCAGTTTGGTGGTACGAACTTTGGTTTTTGGAGTGGAAGCAATGAAGTTGGATTTGTACCGACGAGCTACGACTACGGCGCACCGATTAACCAGAGTGGACATCCTACACCAATGTTCACTGCGCTTCGCGATGTGTTTGCCATATTTGTACCTAATCCTTCGCTGGAGTCGAGTATCCCGCAGCCACCTCCACTAGCGGAGTACGGAACAGTGACGTTGAATGAGTATGCGCCTCTTGCAGGTGAGGAGAATTTGAAGCTGGTTGCAAAGGAAGTGATCGAGCGCGAATCTTCCCAACCACCGTCGATGGAGGATGTTGGCCTGGGGTACGGGTATATTGCGTACCGGTTTTCTGTGAACAAAACGGTGCGTGAGATCAGCCTGCGACCACGCGACTACGCTTTCATTTACATGGATGACACGTACGAGGGAAGGATACATAATTCGTCACTGACTCTCACGCTTACCACTCCACGAAACATCAGTACAGTAACGGTTGTGGTGGAGAATATGGGGAGAATGAACTACTGGTGGAAGCAACCAAGCGGTGTGCGGAAAGGACTTCTTTCAGCACCTAATATCACTTGTGGTGAAGAGGGGAATACTCAGATGATGAAACCGTCGTCGTACACCATCTATACTCTACCAATGACGCGCGACCTTATTTCTAACGCGAATTGGAGACCGATTCCGGAGACAAACAGTCAGGGGAGCGTCAACCCGATTTCACTGCAGCCCGGCACATTCTACCGTGGGTCCCTGATCATCACAGGGGGTCTGAGAGGAGGAACGATGTTGGACATGAGGGAGTTTGGAAAGGGATTTGTAATTGTTAACGGTTTTAATCTTGGCCGCTTCTGGTCTGAAGTAGGTCCTCAGTACTCACTGTATTGTCCGGAGTCCATCCTAAAGGTGGATGCGCCGAATGAAGTGATTGTGTTTGAACAGAGTCTGTCCTTTTCGGAAAAGCGAAAACCACCGATGGTACACTTCACGAACGTGAACCATGATGTGTTCGACGTTGAAGAATTCAAAATCCAACCAATGTAATTGGTTTTTTTCCCTGTCATGGAAGATGAAAGATGTAACTGCGCTTTTAACCAGACTGCTGTCCATAATATTGATCCGAGGTTTTCTGCGATTAGGAGGGATAATACAATGATTGCAAGTACTTTTACACCGTTTGTTTTGCTTGGTTTTCTTCTTTTGAAGGTATCTGTATTTCCCTAGTCTGGGTTTCTGCTCTTCCTGTGTTTTTTTTTTATTTTTTTTTTATTGAGAGCTTGCGAGAGGAATGTTCATTCCTTATGTTATTATTTCAAATCAAATATTCTAGGATAATACAAATTTATTTATTTATTATGAACTTCTACACAACACTCTAAAACGCAACTTTTAAAGGCCTACCCCATCACCCCACCCTCTACGCCTTTTGTAGTGGGTGGGTTAAAGGGCCTCTCAGCACTTTGTTTTCTTTGGTTCTGTTATTTTTGGGTTGGTGAGATTAATCAAGAGAGAAATTGGTATTATAATAATTTATTGCAATCAAGGTCTGTGCAGACTTTTTAAGGACAAAAATAAAGTGGAATACATCATTTTTCCTCTTTGTACTTCTTCTGGGGAAAACGTAATGCTTAGGCTACAAAAAAGAAAGAAGGCAATTTTTGCCGGCTAACTCGTAATAAGGATGCTCGAATCAGAGCAAGGGCTTGTTGCCACATTTTTATTTTTTTATTATTATTTTAAGAAAACTTATTTTCTCCGCAAAAAAAAGGAAAACGGTATGAATCAAAAGATGAAATGAAATCAAAAAAGAAAACGGAAGCTATAATTTTGAAACAAGAGGGATGTGTGAGAGACATTTTATTTTCTTTGGTTTTTTTTCGTTAGTTTGCGAAAAGAATGATCGAGTTTCACTGTCTTTTTAGTTAACAAATCTTGTAGTGGGGGTTTTAACATTTAGGAAAATGAGTTTTCTTTTCAATCTTTTACAGTCTGTCAATCGTAAGTTTCTGAAAAAATAAAAGTAAGTTTTTTAAGCAAGGAAAATGATAACTACAACCAAATCCGACCTATACACTATTAGAGTGGCGGATTTGCACAAAGGCTTTCCAAGATTTTGTGCGCCAATTTGGCCCAACGTCATTTTTCTTTTAATTTAAAACCAGCGGACATGCCGCAATACTGTTTTCACATTGACAGTATTCTGACATTAGAAGGCGATGATACACTTGAAGTAAAAATAGGCCAAGAAGACTTTATGGACTGGGAGGCCTTGTGCCCTTCCATAATTAACTTTACAATGCCGAGGAATCAAAATTTTCTCCAAATTTTCGAGACGACATACAATTTATTCAGTGCAGAATGGGCAGCACTGGGGGAGGAAGCTACAAAGCTACGTTATGAGTATGGCCGCGCACCGGCGCAGTTGGAACGCGAAGCCTTTGGGGTACAACAAAACGCAAATATACAACTCCAGGAATTACAGAACCAAATGGCACATATTTATCAGGAGCCCCCCCTCGCGAAAAAGCAACAGGCTCAGACGCAGAATCAATTGGAAGAAACGCAAGTGCAACTGGCAAACACACAGATACAATTGGCAGCACCCCGCGCACAACTTAACCAAACGCTGGATGAATTGCGGCAGATGCGCAATCAGCATACAGCGACGCAGTCTCAACTAGCGGAAGCGCTCGAAAAATTAAACGAAGGGGAACAACAGAGTGTTCCTGATGCAAGCCAGACAACCGGACCAAGGGTACCCCCACAAAAAAAGGGAGAAATTTATCAAGCTGGGCATGGAAGCCGGAACCAGCTTTACCGAATACTGAGGAACACCCGAAGTTGGGCATTTGCGGCATACAGGAATTACGACAACCAATTTGGACCGAAAGCAATAGACCATCGGAGAAGATCTGTACTTTTGAAGGAATGATGGAATATCAGGGGGATGCATCGCCCGGCGAAGTTATGGCGGCTTATCGGCAACTTTTTCCCAGGCCAGCTGATCCCGGTTTATTTTATCAAGATGCATGGAATAATTTTGTAAAATGGCTGGACTCCATTCGCAACGAGGGGATATCAGCACAGCTGGTCAAAATGAGAAGACAGATATATACACAACTCAGGGTAATACAAACGGCATAAACATTCAAGAGCGATCCACACAGAGCGGCCAGATACGTCGTAATTCAAGGAGAAGGCGTGCAATGGGTCAGAGAAACCATAAAAGGAATGGTGAGCGACGAAAAAGCTAACGCCATTAACCGCACAAGATATGAAAGATATTCTCCGGCCTTACGGTGTGACAGCTCACTCCATAAAGGGAGGAGCTTTGGCCCACGCCGCGGCAGCAGTGGTCGAACGCAATCTCGACCCAAGATTATTAACGCAGCTAGGGAAACACGCGGACCCCATGGAACTCCCACGAAGCACGGTGCGTTATCTGGGCCATTGGGCCGCAACAATAAACAAATCAGCACGCCTGACATCATTGATGTAAGAGAATTGGAAACATGGGACATTACCAGAATTTACGGGACAACATTTTGGCTTCCCCTTTAAAGGCCGCAATATTCTGCAACGGTCACACCTCACCAGGGTGGCGACGAAAGATGACGAAGCACGTTTACCGTTACAACAAATAAACATAGGAACGCTGTCCGCCGAATGGATTAGAGGACGTCTGAACAATAGTGCCAGGAGGCGTTGGGACGAGGTGTGGGATATTGTGCAGAAACCCGAATTGCATCCCAGACGGCGTGAATCCAATTTGCGAATTAATAACGCCGAGGCGCAGCGTATGAAGGAAGCAGGTATTATTCGTACAGCTTCATCACACCCGACCACAGGATGGGTAGTACCGTTTGGGGTAGTGGAGGAAAAACCCTCCGGGCAGAGAAGGCGATTCATCGCCTGGCCAGGAGAAAAGAATGACAAGGATGATTATGAAGCTGATGTTCCTCTAGGGCACATTTCCCGGCACCTGGATGTAGTTTACGACGAAACTGCAACGTTATTTGATTTAAAGGCATCATTTTACCAGGTGGCTCTGCCATTTAACATGCGCGCAAGTTTCCGTTGCCGCACGGAATAAGGAGAACTCGTTGAGTTCACTTGCCTTCTCATGGGTTATAAATGCGGTCCGGGGATTTTAAATACCATTACAAGAGTTCTGGCTGGTGATCCGGGGTCGGTAAAGCCACAGTATGCGGCACCCAAAGAGTTAAAAATACAAGTTTGGTTCGATAACATCAGAATCAGTGGTCCACACAAAAAGGTGGAAGTTTGGGGGCAGCAAATTTTGAAGAACATGCAACTCTGCGGTGCCACCATCGGAGAGGAGAAGCCAAACACAAAGGAATACGATTTCATAGGAGCACATTTCAATCACAAAAACAACAAGGTTTCTTTAAGCGGCAAAACAATAAAGAGGTTACGTCCAACTCCTTCCCTGGATGGCACGAATGTAGAGGAATTGGAGAGCACGGTTTCGCGTATGATGCACGCGGGAGGGGTAAGAGGTGAATCCCTTTTCCCTTATTATTTCTTCTTAAAAATTGTACGTCGACGTTTGTCACGTTTAAATCGAGGTTTAATAAGGCCACAAGACAAGGCAAATTTATCCTCAACGGCAAAGGACATCGGACACAGTTGGCTCCAAACATTAGTAACGAATGAGCCGGTTCATCCTCCTCAGCAGTTGCCATCCACGGCAACGCTGACAACAGACGTCTCCATGTACGGATGGGGGGCGCTGTTATTTAAGGATTCAGGGGAGGTTTTGGCCGCGGGTGGTGCGTGGGAACGCGCACCTCATATGATATCGCCAGCGTAGGCGCGCGCAGTTCATCTCGCTTTACGAGGGTTTAACGTGCATTTGGCGGGTTGGGGGATGGCGTCAATGGGGTGTCTTCAGCCGAATTGCTGTTGCGTTGGTTTCCCACGGGCGTGGCTCTGGGGAACAAGAGTGTAAGAGGGTAATTGTTTTCTATTGAGGGTGATGTGGATTTTGAGGGCGAAAATTTGTGGAGGGAAACAATTATTGTAATTTATTTGTTTTATATATAAACTCTGAAAGGGCAAGCTCAAGCACATATCATCGCATGTAACTTATTGCAACGCTATTGTCTATCTCTTGCTCTCATGTTTTTTCTGTATTTCTACACAAACTGATAGTCTAAGTGTTTGCTTCGGTTGTTTCTCGTTTTCGATTCAATCGGGATCGTTCTTTTCGTGCCCTCCCAACGCATCCCTGTAGATTTTTATTTTATTTTTGCTTTTCCATCCAGTGAACCGGCTTTTCACTGCTGGAATATCCCGAAACCGTGGGTGCAGTCTTTGCCGCGTTGTCTTCCGGCCTCCGATCATGAGACTGCCCTTCACCCCATACAAATGAGCTGAAACAGCAGCGGTGTTTCTTCCAATGTCTTTTTTGTATTCGTTTTTCTTGTTTGTTATTGCTTTGGCTTTGCGTTTTTTCTTTCCAATTTTCCTTTATCTTGCGATAAAGTTTTGAGTTTTTCCGTAAGCCATGATTGTGTAATACGAAACGTTTTTTCATTATAATTAACATTGAGTGAACTGTCTAAAATGGCTTATCTTAGTCCACAGTAAAATTTCACAACAAAAAGAAACATCAACGACGCCAAGCGGAGG